GAGCGTCGGGCGGCTGCAGAATCACAGAATGTTTAGGGTTGGAAGGGACCGCTAGTGGTCATCTAGTCCAACCCCCCCGCAGTGAGCAGGGACACCGCTAACTAGATCAGATTGCTCAGAGCCCCGTCCAACCTGGCCTTGAATGTTCCCAGGGATGGGGCCTCCCAGAAGCGTGACTTGGCTGCCATGCATCGCGACGAGGCGCAGAACGGCACCCCTCGCCCTGGGCAAGGGCACGTGTGTGTCGCAGTCCCGTAACTACGCTCGTCAGGAACAGTTCTTACATCTTGGGAGCCTTACTGTGCCAGGGCTAAACTCCAGCCTGGCTGTGTCTGCCTCGACTGTCAGTGTGGCATCTCAAACAGCGCGCTCGGGCAGAGAGTGCCCGGCTGGCAGCGGTGGCCCGTTTCCCTATTTCGGCCGCACAGCGCGCGGTCCTTAACTGCGCTTCTGGCTGCGTGCACCGGCTCAGACCCTCCTCCTGCAGAAGAGCTGTGCGCATCTGTAATTCCAAGATTAGCCCAACCATTCAGCTGCAGGGGCTGCTTTTCTGAGTTAAGTCGCTAGTGGGCATAGAGTTTCACTTTTTCCCGGTAGTTTTACGATCTGAGACTTTTGTCATACCCTGTGCGGATACAAAAGATCCAGTAACACCAGGGTGATGATTTTCTGACTCAGTACAGAAATACCAAGTTGAGCTACCAACATTTTTCAGGTTGGTTTTGAACTGCTGTGAATAGCTGGTTCTTAGTACGAATTAAGGGACCAACAGCAACTAACAGTTACTGAATTTGTCTTGCATGATAGGTTTTCTTTCTTCCTTCTTCCTTTCCTTTTTCATATTTTTTTTTTTTTTATTTCCCCATGTGTTGGCTTGGTTATTTTTGTAAAGTAGTTGCAGAACGGGTTTCAACAGCCTAGCAGTAAGGGATCGCTTTTCTCCGCAGAGAAGATGATTCATTTCTGTGCGAAATGTAGGTCTGGGCCTCTCAAGTACATTTTATTTAAGTGAAAGAGTGATTGGAGCAAGATAAGACAGTATTAAGTTCTTGACTCAAAATGTAAATGAACTTCTAAGTGAAACCCCCCGTGTCTCTTCCACCAGACTTCTTTTGAAGTGCATGACAGGTCCGAAACACAAGAGGAAAATGTTGATCTTTGTTTTAAAGGTGACCTCTGTAGGTTTGAGTAAGTCCACTTGTGCTGTCAAAATGTTATTGTAACAGTATAATGGATTTCAAAGTGGTTTAGCTGATTTATAACCTTCATTTTGCCTCTTGTAAAAATAGACCCCGCGCTATTTTTAGCGCTTCTCTTACCCACGCTAGATCAGGACAAGGAGTCTCTGTAAACGGATGACAGCGATGGCTTTGTTCGGCTTGGTCGTGCGGGATTGCGTGACCGTTCTGAAAAGTTAGCAGCTGGATTCACCCACCCCTGGATTCATTTTATTCATTGGGCTCCAGTCCCTGCCGAGAATGTGTCTGGCAACAGAATGCGAGCTGTTGATCCTCGTCCTTAGGGAACTGGTATTTAAAACCACTCTGGAAGGCAACTGCAGATGAAAAAGAAAATGAATTCAGCGGCTGAAGCGTGCTGTTGGAGCGTGCTAAACTGCATGGGGTTGCCTGGCCTATTTTTCTGTTCTGTGCTAAGACAAGATGTAGCGCAGCGTTAGGACAGCCGGAGCAGTTCGTCTTTGGCAATGAGTAAAGCAAACAGGTGGGTTCCTACATTTAGCTTGCTGCCCGACGGGCTGGGATCAGCCCTAACCTTTGCATTCACTATGGTCCCAGCAAACTATTTCATTCAGTCCCTCTCTGTAATCAAACGTTAAGTTTGCTGATGAAATGTGAACCCCACAATATCTTGTCGCCTTACTAATAAAAGTAACAAAATATATTTCTTCTGAAATATACCTTTTAATGGAGAAAATAATCGTATGATCTCAGAATCTTGCTACCCATTTTCCTAAATGGATGTGTGTGACAGGACGAGGGGTAAAGTGTTTGTACCACAGCAGAGACTACATTTTAAGAAGTTATTTCATTTTGAATCCTGTGCATAATTCACTGTCCTGCCTTGCCCACGGCAGGTCATAGCGGGTGGTTGGTAGAAGATGTGCTCATATGTCTTGGGGTATTAGTTTAATGCCTCTGTGCTGTTCTAAGCTGGGTCAACTACAGAATCAAAGCTTGTAAGTTTGGTTCTCATGGATGTTTTAAGATGGAGACTAAGGTACCAGGGTTCCTGCAGGGGAACCACGAGTTACATCTTTAGAGAAAAGAAAAAAAAAACCAACCAAACAATAAGCTTTTGCTTTGAATAGCCAGAAAAACATGCATCAATTCACGCAGGGAAATGGAATATTTTCTGGAGTAATGAAAGGTCTGACCATTTGCAGAATACCCCGGACCAAGATTTTAGGCTGCAGTGGGCACGTTTGCTAAGGAAATAGGTAAAAAGCGTAACGGTGAACCTTGTCTTTTCTTTGGCGTGATTATTTAAGGGTGATTATTTCTTATGGTACTTTTTTTCCAAATACAACAGTGTTTGTGCACCAACCTAGTCTTCCTCTTCACAGTTTGCTAAAAAAACCCAGATTGCAATCCTGTTTTTTTTAAGGAAGAATTTATAATGGAAGCACCACTTACTCCTTAAATGCTGACAGTATATTCAGCACCTATTTGAACGCCACTATTGAAAACATGGGTCCCTAACTTCTTTCCGTCCTACTCAAACCTACTCACACAGGTTGGTCACACTGGGAGGCCCATGTGTGAGTAGGTCACGTTGACTTACTCACGCAGGTCAAGTTAGGCACATCTGCTTGTTTTTTCCCAGCGTGCTTGTGAATTATAGTTGGATTGCTAAAGCAACGCGTTTTAAGGAAAACACTGAATTGAGACAGTGTGGCTGTGTAAATTTTCAAGTTTTAAGCACAGAAAAAGCAACAAAAAATACAGAAAAAAAGACATGCAGCTGGCACTGGATGTAGGTCTGATATTGGTGGGGAAAAGAGAGAAGCCATCCCACAGGCACTAACCTGGGATGCAGTCTGTGCCCTGCTGTGCCAGCTGAAGGCTGCGTTTTCCTTGGGCCTCTCACTGTAAACCTGCCCCGACAGCACTTCTAAAAGTTGTTATGTTGAACCACAAATGAACAAAGCACCTTAAAAACTGTGCGTGGGGAAATGTGAGGCCTCGGCGCTGCGAGATGTGGCATTGGTCGTATGTGCGTGGTGATAGTACTTGCAAATACCTTGCAGCTTGTAATACAACAGTGTCTTAGCTGGAGATCTTGCAAGCTTTAAGAGCTGCCCTACTTGATTCAGTGGGTTTCTTTTCCCTTTCTCGCTGTGTATTGGTATTTCTATGTGTGTATATATGTATACATTTGAAGAAAGGGAGTATAAAAATTGGATGGGTTCTTTATCTTTCACGGAATATCCATTGGGAATTATTTAGATTAGCAGGAACAGGCTGCATAGCTCTTCAGTTTTTTATCTGTGGCCTGAATCTTACCGTAAAAATGTTCTTTCCAAATTGGGTGAACCCCCAAGCACTGATGCTGTCCTGAAGAAGAGCAGCAGTTGCTGTGCTGGATCATCATGCTGTACGTGGGACATGCTCCCTCTCAGGGTGGGACA